ACACAAAAAGAAGGGGAAAAGGTCATTGAACAATTTAATGAATTTGTAATGCTACTAATAGAAAACAAGTTTATAGGTAATTTTAGGACATGTAATACATTAGAAAGGGTAAGTCCAAAAGGAAGGGTTATGGTTCCTTGACCAGCTATGGTGGAAAATGAACCATAAGCTAATCTCATTTTGTCCCTAATAGATAAAAGTTGATAGGACTAAAAACAATTTAACTTACCTGTCATATGGTTTGAGGCTCCAGAATCAATTATTCAAGGGGAGTCAGGTGAATGGGAAGACACATGGAAAGCTGTGGTAAGATTACCATTACCTGAAGTAGATGCAAAAGAAGTCAAAGCAGGAAGAACATAATCCATTTGAAAGATTGCTCTCCCATACAGATCTAAGTGGTCACGGAAAGAATTAATGATATCTTCCTAGGGATCGACAACGGATGGGCGGTCCTAGTGAATAGTAGTAGATGATAGAGGCTCTTGAGAGGCCATGTTTGCTATATTAAACATTTTTTTTTACTTTGCTACCCCGACTTCTTATTCTGATATGATTTCTTACTCAGCTCTTGGACCCACTTTGGCTTAACATGAAGGTCTCAACAAGTATCTCGAGTATGTCTGGCCTTCTAGCAATGAGTACACCACAACTTATTTTTATCATCCACTCTCTTTTGGGAGTCATCCTTCTCAAAGGAATTATTGCTTCCTGCACCTATACTCCCTTTAGCCACTAAGGCAATCTGCTCCCCCTCAGAGCTATTCATCATACTGCGCCTACTCTCTTTGGACTGTACTAGAGTATACACTTCTTACACTGAAAGAAGATCTTTACTTCCTAATATCTGAACTCTTAGGGACTTATATATGGGGTTCAGTTCCAAGAGGAAGGCAAAGACCCGTTGTTGGGAACCAACAACCTTGTAGGCTTTAGCATCAGCATTGCACTTCCAATCAATATTCTGATAGTGATCTAATTCCTTCCAAATTGAGGTCAAATTTGAATAGTAGGCTGAGAGGGTCCTCTCCCCCTGCTTACAAGTAGATGGGGTAGCTCGCAACTGGTATATTTTGGCATAGTGGTGTTGCTCTAAATAAGTAGATTTTACCTGCTCCCAAATCTCCATAACTGTTTCAGCCCACATGAAATTTTTCTTGACTAGAGGTAACATAGATAGTAACAGCCATGACTTCACCATGCTGTTTTCCTTATCCCACCTATCATGTTTCTGCCCCCTGAGACTTTGGTTCTTTAGTTTTACCATTAATATAACCTACCTTCCCCTAGTTGTTATGTATAGTTTGATTTCCCTTGACCATTCTAGGTAATTAGGACCATCAAATGGTATCACAGCCATGGAAAAACTCATGTCAAATTCTCCACTCACTCCACCTTGACTAGAGGACCCACTAGACATAATAGAATCTTCAGAAGACATATTATAAGATTCAGGTTTCCAGATCAGGTCTGTTCAAAGAAGGGTACAATTCAGTTTATAGTTCAGCCACTGTTTAGTTTTAGTTCAGTCAGTTTAGTCCCCAGTTCAACCAAAGTTCAAACTATAATTCAGTTCAGTCAAAGTTCAAACCCTAATTCAGTTTAGCCATAGTTACAGTTTAGTCCCCAATTCTATAATTTGGTTGACTTTGTATGTACTCTTTTTTATCACGTTTCTTGGATACACAACTACTAGAAATGTTTCCAAGGAAGGTATCCGACCACTATCTTTTAGTTATAGGTCATTTTGACCTACACCGCCCAATTGACTAGGTAAAAAAAATAAGGATCACACGATCCAAAGTTCAAGGAAACTTAGTAGTTTTAGGTCATCTAGACCTCCAAAAAAAACACTTACTTGGGTACAAGAGAGGCTCACTCGATGCACAGAAGATAGATTTGTCTTCGCAGCATTAGTTTTTTCCTTCCTTTTAAGGGTTTCTTGGCACATGACTAGGGAAGAAGAGAAGACAAGTTGAAACCCCTTTAGATCAGTTTGATCTGCTTCTTGATTAGATTCGATTCATAGCAAGAAGAGTCCAAAAAAGGAAACTTTATCGCACTCTTTCTGATCTCAAAAGGCATGTTCTGATACCATGTTTTCAGGTCTGAGATATCAGAGAAGGAGAGGAAGAGAGGAAGAAGGAAGAATAGGAAGAGAGAAGAGAGAAAGACGTTTGGATTCAAAACATACAACTGGCGGCTCTAGCTCTCTTTTCCTTTTATATTAGGGTGACCCAACTTAAAATAAAAGAGGGGGGATATTACAATAGTGCCCCTACGACACTAAAGAATAGGAAAATGTAATAAACTACTAGGAGAACTAACGGATTTCAACAATTATGATGCCGAAAGATGTGATATTGAAAGAACTTATAACCAATCAACCAGCATCACAAAAGTGGTATCAATCAGGTGGATTTTCATAAAAAATTAACGGGGGGGGGGTGATTGGACAAAGTTGTTCTAGTATCATGTCTCTCTAGTGTCATAGATTTTTCCTAAAGTTTAAGATTGATTTTCATATTTATTTTGGTTTTTCTTCTTTCACTATGGAGAAGTACCTTGGAGCTAGACTTATTCACGAGCTGGGCTGGGCCGAGTTTGTGTCGGGCTCTGTCTATGTATTAATAGAACACATTCAGGCCAATCTCGAGCTTGACCCGACCATTGCCCCTAGGTCTTAAGCCCAAGCTTGAAGCTCGACCAAAAAATTGGGAAATGAATTTTCTTTTTTATTCCATTAAAACCATTTTGTTTATATTAAAAGACCTCAAAGCCCAAATATAATGAAAGATCTCACTATGATTTCAAAAAAGAGAAGAGGAACAAAGAAAAAACATATTTGTATATATATATATATACACATTATTTTTATTATATAAAATATATTTTTGTTATATAATATAACTCTAATTTGGGCTTGGGCTCGAGCCATGCTTTTCTGAAAAAACCTAAGCTCAACCTACAAAAAAGTCAGGCTTGGTGTTTTGGGCCCCAAACCAAGCCCACATGTCTAAATTCATGTCTAAGCTTGACTTTGAATAGTTTAGACCAGGCCAACCCATTGGGCTACCGAGTCCATGAACAAGTTTACTTGGATACCATAATCTATATTCCATCTTAAATTAATAGAACTTTGGTTATCAAACTGTATTATATAGTTAAGACATTTATGGGTGGACCAATACCGAGTTAAGCCCAAGTCTAAATTTCCTCCTCATAAGCACCCCTCACACCAGCCTCATAGCAAATTCTACCCACACATTGGGAATATCTCCTATACTCGTATGTTATTATTCATAGGAGATGTTCCCAATACAAGGTGGGATGTGATTGTGAGATTGGTATGAGGAGTGTTCTGTAAAGAAAAGATCCCATCACGTTAAATCGTACGACTGTATTTGATTTGAAGGAAAAAGTAGGGAACCTTTACAAACCTTGTATAGGTTTTCCTACATTTTCCTTCAAATCAAACATACCTTACAACATGGTTTTCAAAACCGGACTGGACCAGACCAGACTGGAAAAACCAGGAACTGGTCACCATTTTATCTCAGAACCGTTATTTTGCAAAAAAACATTGATTTGGTTTGCAAACCGTTGACTTGGGCAATTAAATTGTTCGAACTGTCTAATATTTTGTATGGTTTTTATTTTTTTTTATTAAAATTAGACCTATTCATGGGCCGGGTAGCCCGATAGCCCGGCCCGCACCTCGGTCGGGCTTGGTCATGTAATTAGGCCCGTTCGATTCGAATAATCGATCCGTTCAACCGGGAACCGGACCTTCGTTGTCGCATTTGGTTTTTAAAACCTTGACTTACGGGACCTGACGGATAATTACATATATTACTAGTTACTACTGGAGTTGGATTCAGGTGTGAGTCCGATCCCTTGACATCCCTAATCAATAACAGAAGAATCATGAAATTCCAAACGGCATACTCATAGAAAAACGGAAAGCCTACAATTCTACTTTATCGTATATTAAGTAGGGGCCTAGATGGGTATTGTGACCTGGCCCACCACATCGAAGGAAGGATAAGCAAAGCGATTACCTATTTATTTATTTCATATCTTCCCTGCGGCAGAGGTCTTCACTCGAGGTGTAGGTGGGAAACATGTGGGCCCAGATTGGTCCAACAACTTTTAGCTACCACATGTAGAAAATTAGAAATAATCCCAAATCAATTTACTTCCTACACAGATTGAGTTCCAGCGTAGATCTAGGGAAGGACAGTGGAATGACTCCCTTCTAAGGACATTTTTCACTTTATGTSCGGAATAAGTTTACGCTTTTAATAAATAAAAGTATGGCCGTAAAATATTTTATTTATTTTTGCTATTTTCTTAATTGTGGGCCTTAGAACATGGGCTCAAACGTGGGCTTCAACCATCAACCAGCACCGCTGAACATGAAGAGAATAGTAGTAGTAACAAAATGTGGAATTGCAAATTTTCAATAGTGTTAACGTATGTACCTTTTAATCGTTATATTACTATTTATGGTCCTTTTTTTAATCGTTACTAATGGGCCTTCACACCTACTATTTGCAATTTTGCATGGATGACTCCAGGAAAGTATGATCTATGTCCTTTTCTATTTGGGCCCCCACTCGAAGCCACAGTGTACTAGGCTGGCTACAACAGTCAACAGCTCTACAGCTAATACATTTCACTAGTGACCAGCCCCCACCGTAACGCGCTACTACGGTCAGAAAAAGCACGGAGAGTTCTACCATCCACGGACGAGGAAAAAAGGAAACCAGACCACATCACAAGATTCACAATATCGCAAACTAACGCAAGTGGACATTTTAGTCATTTTCTCATGGTTCCTACTGCTTCCTAACCTTCCTGCCATTCAGTCATTGACTCCACTCTCCAGTCCCCATTAATGGAAGAAATTAATAATGGCTTCCACGTAATAATCAGTCGCCACCAAGGGCATTTCTGTACTTCTGTACCGCATTTAAATGCGCCATTCGTGCTATTGATACACTTTCAGGTGGAGTAAGGACTCTGCGTCTGCGAGACGAGACGAGAGAGAGAGGGCCACAGTGCTCTTACTTGCTTACAAACAACTTTATACAAGTTCCGAGTTTCCAACCTCTGACCTTAATTATTTTCTTCGCTGTTTATATTTTTACTCTTTCCTGCCTTCAGCCTACTTTTGCCGACACCCTCTCTCCTTCTTAGTCATCCTTCTCGACACGGCCGAATCTTTACTCTCTTGTTTAATGGAGAAAACCAGAGAGGAAGAAGAAGATCTGATCTTTCTCAACTTCTTCTGTTCGTCTGTTCTCCCCCGATTGTCTTGCATGTGCGGTGGAAGAACACAGCGTCATCTGTAAAGCACTGTAAATCAAAATGGGGATGAATAGAGGGACCTTGCTATCCACCTCTCATTTCTTCGTTGTAACTTATGCTATTGCCGTAGTGGCACTCACTGTCATTTTCACTCTGCCTCTCGTTCGTTCAGCTACTGATTCTTCTGATGGTAATCTCTCTTCTTCTTTTAGTGGTTGGATTATTCGTTTATCTTCAGCTTGCGGTCGACCCGTCTCGATGAAGTTAATTCGGAAATGAGATGATATTGCCTGGTTTGAAGCCCAATGTTTCAGTAGCGAGGTTTTTATTTATTAATGGAGGAAGCAGAGGAGTTATAGTTGTCTCTGCCGATCTTATCTGTTTCGTTTTCTGTCTGCCTGTACATCTGTCTCTTTTCATTCTTTTATATAAATTGAGTTTTTATCAATTTACGGGGACTCAAACATCGGTGTCTGATTGCAGTTCAAGCTCTTCAGGTTCTATACAGTTCATTGAATAGTTCTCCTCTGCTAACCGGGTGGAAATCAAATGCTGGTGATCCATGTGGAGAATCATGGAAGGGCGTTACTTGTCAGGGGTCTTCCGTTGTTGCCATGTGAGTGTGTATTTTTCATGCATTTAATCCTTTTTTATTCCATCACTGAATTTGATGTAGCTATTAAGGTACTTTTTATTCAATCAATTATTTTTATTTATGTTGCTTCATTTTTCTATTTTTTCGGTGACCCTAACAGTCAGATTTCCGGGCTTGGACTCAGTGGAACCTTAGGATACATGCTTTCGAGTCTTTTTTCATTGAAAGCACTGTGAGCAAATCTGTCCCTTATTTCTATTTCTGCTTTTGGCATACTGAAATTTTAACCTTTTATTTTGACTAATTGTTCTTTTTTATTATTATTTTAGAGATTTAAGCGGCAACAACATTCATGATTCAATTCCATACCAATTACCTCCAAATCTTACGAGCCTGTAATGTTCAACCATTTAAATATTCCTTATTCTTTTCTTTTCTGCTTGCAAGTTGTTGGTTATTTGATGTTCAAATGCTTTCTTTTTGTATTACGCAGAAATCTTGCCAATAATAACTTAAGTGGGAATCTTCCTTACTCCATTTCTACTATGGTTTCGCTCAATTACCTGTAAGTGTCTTGTTTTGGGTGCTGTTGTATTTAATATGCTCATCTTTATTTGGATTACAATGTGGGCATTGAAATCCTAATGCCGCGGCCTTACTTTAACTCTTTGATTATAGGAACCTTGGCCATAACTCAATTTCCCAGTCAATTGGTGATATATTTGCAAATCTTCAAAGTCTCTCAGTTTTGTAAGATATTTCATTCCAGCTCTTTTTTTTCTCCCTTAAATTTTCATTCTTTCCTGCTTATTGCTTCTTCACAATCATGGACTTGTAAATAACAACCTTTGTTACAACATTGCGTTGCTAAGGGGCTCTGTGTTTTACATCTCTTTTTTAGAGGCCAACAGCTGTGATGTGTTCTTGTTATGGATATAGATATCGTTCAGTTTAATGTTTGATATGATGGTTGTCATGAGTGCCATTAGAAGAATAGAAACACAAACTCTGGAAAGCATTAGCTATTAGGAATTCTGTATAACAATTGCATGACACCACTTGAAAATTCTATTGGAGGTCAAGTATTGAAACTGCCTTTCCTTCTCAAAATAATCTTCCTCAGTATGTGTTTTCTGAAATTAGCTGCACATTTGATGCATCAACCAGTAGTCGTTTACCTTACTTTATGCTCAGACATTTTTCATCAGAGATATACTTGGAGTTATTGCATCTTAACAAAACATTTAAAGACATGTAAAACATAACTTTATAAAGTTATGCTATAAGAGGATCATGTGGTAACAGTTGTAAATGTATTTCTGGTATCCATACAAATCTATGCCTTTGTAGAGAAATGAAGTGATTCATATAATGCATTTATGGTATCTGTGCGCATCATATTTATTATACTTCTTTAGTTTTGCATTTATGGCTTTAAGTAACTTCTCCTTTTGAAAAAAAAAGTCATCATTGAACATTTGACATTTTCATGGATGCAGGGATCTTTCTTTCAACAACTTCAGTGGAAATCTTCCTAATTCCTTTGGTTCTTTGTCCAACCTTTCTACTCTGTGAGTTCAGATTTTGATATTTGACCAGGAGTGTAGGGCTAAGAAGTCAACTTTTGGGATTAGATTTGCAGATTTCTATTTTTTCCCAAATTTCATGACTTGTGAATTGGTGTCAGGTATTTGCAGAACAACCAGTTAACTGGTTCAATTAATCTTCTAGCAGATCTTCCTCTTGATAATCTGTAAGCTTCATCCTTTTCTTTTAATAATGTGTTTGCTTTTTCGATGGTTGTTATTTTGACATTTTCTAGTTTTTGGCAGAAATGTTGCAAATAACCATTTTACTGGCTGGATACCACGGGAATTTACCTCAATCCCAAGTTTTATGTAAGCTATTAGCATTGTTTCATTCATATTTGTTTTGGTATGTTTACTTTTTTTTCTTTTAATTTAAACAATTACAATAAAACAGATATGACGGGAACTCATTTGAGAATGGTCCTGCTCCTCCTCCACCGCCATATACCTCACCTCCCCCTGGTAGATCACATAATCATCATAACCATTCTGGATCAGGCACACATTCACCACGGGGATCTGGCAGACGAGCATCCAGTGACAATCAAAATGGTAAGAAGGGTTTGGCGGCAGGACCTTTAATAGGTATAATTCTTGGTTCAATATTGGTGGCTCTTTGTGCATTGCTGGCTTTAATCTTTTGCCTTCAGAAGGGAAAAAATGAGAAAGGAAGTAGTGCAAGAGCTTCTACAGGAACACCGGTTGGCACAGATACAGGTACTTTAATCTTCCACATGTTTTCTACTTTCTTTTTATTGATAGTAAATTTCCTCATTTCTCGAATACAATCTCACCTTTTTGTCCACACAAGGATGATTGATTACACTTTAGTCTGAAATTCTATATGATTTGGCTTCTACCCCCATCCAATATTAGCTTGAGATCCAACCTAACATGTAAAGCATGCAATATTGATTCCTTTTGATGTTATTTATGTCTTAAAGGAGAATTTATTAGTTGTCCTTTACAACCATGTCTTAAGGCTAAAGCAACTTGTACCTTTTCTTAAAAGATCATTTCAGTCAATTGCCTATTCTAACATATTGGAATATTTAAGAATTTCTAATATTTAATTGAATATTTTGTAAATCTACCATGAGTTTGATTTCATATTATTCTTAGGAAGTTGAAGTGTTGATACGAGTGTTCATGATACAACACATAACTCTTGAAAGTAGCTTTAACAAGTGTTTCGAGATCATCAACTACAATAACTGACATGCCTATATTATTCATTAGGGCATTGTCTTTTTTGGCTTTGTGTTACTAGGCAAACTCTTTATCTTTTGGGAAATAGGAATGTCTTGGGTCCTTCACATTCATATTTGTGGTCTAATACCTGTAAAACTTGCCAATTCTTGCACGCTGTTAAGACTTGTATTCATGACCCATGCTTAGGTGATATCCAGTTCAGAGAGTCGAATTGACCTTTAACAATTTGATGTTATGCCTCATATTAGGAGCTTTTTGTCTATCATTCAAAACTATACAGTTACAGTTCAAATTTCAAACACAACATTTTGATATTGCTTTATGTTTGGCCCAATTGATCTATATGTGAAATCCATTGAATGCTGGATCCAATCATGTGAATATGCATTATGTGACAAGTTATGGGCCTAGGGTCCAGACCTCTTATGAGCCCTGTATCCTCATGCCATAGAATTAGCTTCTTTAATTAATAACAACAAGAAAGAATGAAAGATACAGAATATTCAGCTGGGACTTACTCAAGCAGTTCAGAAAGTGGTGCCCCAATTCGTTTCCATTCTGTCCACTTGCTCCATAACAAGAGTCTCCAGACACATGACCTACAAGAGAATAACCTGAGATGTTCAAATGGGAAGATGCTTTTTGATTTTCTCTAATGCTTTTAGACAATCTGCAGTGTATGTTTCGCTTACCTTCAGGCTTACCTTCCCCTTGATTCTCATCTCTTCTAACTGGAAACTTTTTGTTTCTATCTTCAAGGATCTCCTCCACTGACCTGCCTGCACAAACTCCATTTCTCTAACGAACTCTAGCAAAGGATTCAACTTTCTCATCCAACAAGAGACATTCCATTAAACTTAACGGTCTTTTATTGTTTGGCTAATGAAAGCCCATTAGACTAAAAGACAGACCCCAAAAAAGACCATAAAAGCCCATATTGATCTATATCTGAGAAGCTACAAGTGAAATTTATGATCTACCCCCAGTGACTGAGCATTGACACAGGTATATTCTTCTTTTTTTTGGATTCCATGATTAGGATTCGCATTTTTTGGATGCCAAAAAGGTTTTAGACACCAGACACCTCTTAGACAGAGAAATCTACGACTAAAATTTGATAATCTCCTTGATTTTGCTAGGTTTTTGGATCATTGTTCTTCTTAGACAACTACATAGTAATTAGATTCCAATTTGGTCGTATTTCATTGAATTCCCTATTTTAGGGCTTTTAGGGTTTAAGTGAATATTTTTCTTGTGTTTCTAGGACCTTTGGCGGATTTGGTTCCCTAAGGATCTGGAATGCTAGGTTTGGTAAACTGAATCATGTTGATTTGCCACCTTGACTGTTGTTGAAGGAATTTGGGTTTTCTTTTGGATTTTTAATTTGGTTGTCAGAACTAAGTGGGAACCATGACCAATGTAAGTAATATATGTATGGTTATATCATATATGTTAAATTGCAATTTTTTCTTTCCCTACTTGATCTCAATATCACCAATGCAGAACGAATGAAGCTAGTGTTTTTTTTCCCGGAGTTGACGGCACAGAAGAATTGAAGAGGAATGAGAGATATGGCTTCCTAAATTTTCATGTTTTCCCTTGAGATAAATTTAATGGTATTCATCGATTTTAATCAATCAAATAAAAATCAGTAATCTTGAAAAATTAGTACAATTGGGTATGTATCCATCTTTCTCTGTCATGTGGTTGTTTTTTCCTCTCTTTTGCATGGGGGATGGTGGGTTTCTTTTAATTGAGAAAAGTTTATTGAAACTGCATTCTGATTATCCATTGAGTTGTCTTCAACATAAAGGTTAAGTATAGAAGCCTAGAACAAATGAAGAATATCAAGTTTGTCATTGATCTTTTATTTACTTATTTTTGGATTAAGCATCATTGGTTCTTTTTTTTATCAATAACTCAAGCATTTTATTAATTAAACTAGGAAGAAAATGTACCACCCATTAAATACAAACAAAGACTATGAGAGATAAAAACCTATTCTCTCTCCCCCAACAATCCAATTCCATTACAGTTATGCCCAGAACAGAGATTCCCTCCCCACCCCTACTTGGCTAAGGCATCCGCTACAGAATTAGCACTTCTCTCAACCCACCCAACATTTATATCCACTTCTCTCAACCCCGAATTAGAACTTTTTCTTATCATTGATTCTTTATATATTTCAGATTATTGTGTATAGCTTTACGACATATACTTTACCAGCAATGAAATTTGTATGTTTTACCTACTTCGACCAAGGGAACTTTTCTAGTTTTTGTTGGGCCTAGGGTCCAGACCTCTTATGAGCCCTGTAGCCTCACGCCATAGAATTAGCTTCTTTAATTAATAACAACAAGAAAGAATGAAAGATACAGAATATTCAGCTGGGACTTGCTCAATCAGTTCAGAAAGTGGTGCCCCAATTCGTTTCCATTCTGTCCACTTGCTCCATAACAAGAGTCTCCAGACACATGACCTACAAGAGAATAACCTGAGATGTTCAATTGGGAAGATGCTTTTTGATTTTCTCTAATGCTTTTAGACAATCTGCAGTGTATGTTTCGCTTACCCAAATTCCAACCTAATCCTATTTCTTTGACTCTTAAAGCGGTTACTAAGTGCAAGAAAATGCCAAGGTTTAGGTCCATATCCAGTCAAGTAGTCCACCCCTCCCAAGACCCAGTATAGCCAGGACTGACAATAGGCAATAGCTCTTTAACTCTTTAAGAAGAAGAGGCTTCTAGATTAAAGGAGAGACATTGCCTTGGTCAGTGTTTTGGAAGTGAGAAATGTAACTGCAAGGGATTCCTAGAGCTTGAGGCATAAGTAACAAGGCTTACACATGCTTGAATGAAATGTGGTGCCACTTTAAAAAAGAAGCCAAAGAAAAAAAAAACTTAATATACAAGAATATGCAAATCTAAGTTCTGAAAGAAGTAATATATCTCGGTAAGCCTGTTGGCTCAATTTGCAGTATTTTTTTTTTTTGGATCTCATATGGCAGCATGTTATTAACATGAAAGTTGTAACCTTGAACATTCAAGTCCTAAAGTGGCCTACCTGTTTATAATTCATTAAAATATGGAAGCAAGTCAGGTAAGGTGCACCCCACAAAATGAGACTCACCTGTGAGTGTAGGAATGGCAATTAGAAACACTGGCCTTGGCAATTAGAAACTGGAGCCTTTAGGGATAGCTATGTGACTTTTGTTCCATAGTTCTTATCTATGGGTGAAACTAAGAAGTTTTATGATAACCAAAGTCTTGAAATTAGGGTCTTTACTCACCTAAAAGTCTGCAGTTAGACATTTGCATGCACTATCTTTATTATTTTGAAAAAGTAAATGCTGACATAAAGATATATCAATCTTAAAGTACATTGTATATCAAGGGAGGTAGGAAGTTTGATTATACAGCTAAGAACATCCTTCACTTGGAGTTGGACTCGGCAATCAGTGAATACCTTTGCCAATTCCTTGGCAAAGTAGGGAGCAAACAGAAGCCGGCTTCTTTGGGGGGTTGCAATGGTGGGGGATCATGGGTGATTGTTTGTAAAATTGAAAATGTTTGGCTTAGGAATAAATCCTAACCTAAATCACTCTGGGGTGCCAGGCACATTCAGACCTTGTGTACTATTACCATTTTCTTTATTCTTTCTTTCAAAGCTAACAATAAAAAAACAGCATTCTTAAAGTATCTATGCAACATAAGAATGTGCAAGTTGTCACCATTGTAGATACCAGGAAATTGGTAGAATGTTATATTGTGAATGAATTTGGACATGATCTGATTAAGGGAAAAAACTATAAAAATTTTAATCAATCTATCATATTAAAACTGGAACTCTAAACACAAATGGTGATTTTCAAAAGGTTAGGATGATGAAAACTCTCTCATGACATGCATCCTGACATTTTCCCGCCTTTTGATTTTGTAGTAATTAACACAGAGCTTCAAGAGGAAAAGTTCAGAAGTATGGCTAGCGTTACAGATTTGAAGCCCCCACCTGCAGAAAAAATGGTAGCTGACAGGGTATATGGGCAAAATGGATCTATTAAGAGGGTAAAATCACCTATTACTGCTACTCCTTATACTGTGGCATCTCTTCAAACAGCAACAAACAGCTTTAGTCAGGAGTACCTTATTGGTGAAGGTTCCCTTGGTCGTGTTTACAGAGGAGAGTTCCCTAATGGAAAGGTAATGAGTTGTTCTTCATTGGTAATTTTCTTTTTGCATTTTGTTGTTCTCTCTAGAATTGATCATAGAAGAACCTCTAGGAAACAAGTTACACAATACTTAATAATAAGTCAATAATTTGATGTGACAATAGCAAATGGTTGGAGCTAAGTTTGAAAACTTCCTCTTCCACTTTCATTTCAACTATCCTTCCACATCTTCTATCATTTTACGCCATTTCTTCCTCTAGTACGCATGTTCTATCCTTTCCTTTGTTTTGTTGATTGAACAACACATTTTCTTTTATGCTCAAGATGAAACTTCCTTGGTTACTTAACAGGGAAACATGAAGGAAAATTGGTAAATGCAGGCAGAGATGTCAATGGGTTGGGTTAAATGGTAAAGCTGCCTTGACCTGGGTTCTGGTCAACCTTGATTAGGTTTCTAGTCAGGTTCAGGTCAAGTGGGCCTGGTCCACAATCCACATCAGGTTAGGTTGAAGGAGACCCACCACAATTTACATTGTTAAGTCATGTTGTCAGTGTTAATAACTTAATATTGCTAGTTTTGATGTTTTGGTGATATTCTTCCACGAAAATCTCTCTTCTTTGTTAGGAGAAGACTTCAAATTATGTTTTTCCCTTTAAATGAATCCTAAAATTATGTTTATCATAACCCTTTGCGAATATACACCAGATGACAGATATTTACAATAAAATATTCATGAATTTCAATGACAAGTGACATAGTAACATTGAAAAACTTATAAATGTAACCTTCACTAAGAATATGGTTACTGTTCACAGATCAATTCAGGTTGGAACCAGTTGTGACCCTATAGGGTTGGGTCAGGTTCAGTAATCATGTTCTAATTGATTGGGTTGGATTGGAATGTCTTTGGGTCAGGTGTGGGTTGACCTGAACCTGACCCATTGACATCCCTAAATGCAGGGAAAAATATGCAACCAAGGGCACATTAAAAGAAGCCAGTGTGGTTCTGCATTGTTTTGGAAGCAATTTTATTTGGGGATTTTTGTGTGTTTATGCAATATTGTGGAAGCTGATTACTTCATATGAAATTCAACTTTGGCAATGGTGGTGCTATATGCCCCAGTTTGATGTCACTGGTTAAGCCCAAGCTACCTGTCACTACCAATAAAATAAATAAATAAGGCAATAAGTAGCTAGCAACATTTTTATTGGTAACTGATCAGCAATAAGGTATAGAGAAGAAGATAAGAAGTACAGCTATACAAAATAATGAATAAAACAAATAAGATTAGAGTTAGTGAGGGCTAGTCCTGACATTTTACACTATCCACAGGAAAATAAGCTCAAATATCTGAAGAATTACAACCCTTACCCAGGGGTTTTGGCCGCCAAAATAGTTCCTGTCTTACAGTTCACTCCCTAGCAAGTGAATTGGTTAAAGAATTTGCTGATCTTTGTATCCATCTGAACTAATTTTGAATTACTTCATGCTGTGTCGATCTTTGTCCTTGATTATTTTTCTTTACAATCAATTCCATTCTCTTTCATTTACTTACAATTCTTGTAGCTCATCTTTTCAAGCAATAACCTATTGACTGCAATGTGTTTGGTGATCTAGGTACTGGCTATCAAAAAGATTGACAGTGCAGCACTGTCATTACAGGAGGAAGATAATTTTCTTGAAGCTGTCTCAAACATGTCACGCTTGAGGCATCAAAATATTACCACTTTGGTGGGGTACTGCACGGAGCATGGGCAGCGTCTTCTTGTTTATGAATACATTAGCAATGGGACTCTGCATGATATGTTGCACTTTTCTGATGATGGCAGCAAGAGACTCACATGGAATGCACGTGTTAGGGTAGCACTTGGCACAGCTAGGGCCTTGGAGTAAGTTTCCTTTTCTTTTTTTGGATATTTAATTATTTATTTATTGTGTGGTTTGTATATTGTTGTTGAAAGTTCCATTTCCAAATCTTGAAATCTTCTCTTTAGGTATTTGCATGAAGTATGTCTACCTTCAGTTGTACATAGAAACTTCAAGTCAGCAAACATTTTACTTGATGAAGAGCTCAATCCCCACTTATCTGATTGTGGGCTGGCTGCCTTGACACCAAACACTGAGCGGCAGGTAAGATAAGTGGCGCTAGACATTGTTGTCCATGATGGCTATATATGATACCTGGATACCTGTATATGCCTAGTGTACTAGTGTTGGATACAATACTTGTAGGATATGATACTGGATACTGCATGGATAGTTAAATGCTTCTAGATGCACTCTATAGCATTGACACTTTTAGAATATGTAAAATGGTATGTTTAAACAAATTATACTATGAAGAAATCTGCACATCTTAGAAATTAATTAAATGTGGAAAGACATAAATCTTTAGAAATGACATTTAGCTTCAAAACTAAATGTCATACTTGAACACATTTCTGAGATTCCCATACTTGTGTCTATGTTCAGCATTTTAGGACATGGAGAATCATATCCATATTCAGTATCTGTGTCTGTGTCCATATCTGTACCTGGTCATTATAGATGCATTGTCCCCTTGATACATATTTCTCAGCTTTACATCTTTGTTTACAATGACATAATGACCTTAACATTTGAGAAAAACTCTTGGATGAGTCTATTTGAGGATTAACCTACTGATTATTTTATGGTTTTACCTACTGATTATTTATGACTTTCCAAAGTAATGATTTATGACTTTCTGAAGTAATGTCTGCAGAAGTTTAAATTCCATCATTGTATTTGACAGGTTTCAACTCAGATGGTTGGTTCATTTGGTTATAGTGCTCCTGAGTTTGCCATGTCCGGAATTTACACTGTAAAAAGTGATGTGCATAGCTTTGGAGTAGTGATGTTAGAGCTGTTGACAGGTCGGAAGCCACTGGATAGGTAAATTTCACCCGACATCATTGCATGGCCAAGTTTGTTCTGGAATTATCTTCATGCTTTCTTCAATCTGTTGATGGGTCTCTCTCTCTCTCTCTCTCTCTCTGTATTCTCCATGTTTAGTTCGAGGGTAAGATCAGAACAGTCTCTTGTCAGATGGGCTACTCCTCAACTTCATGATATTGATGCTTTAGCAAAAATGGTTGATCCTGCACTAAATGGCATGTACCCTGCGAAGTCCCTCTCACGCTTTGCTGATATCATTGCCTTATGTGTTCAGGTATGATGAATTCTCTGCTGAAGAGTTCAATGATATTTCAATATACCATTTACATGAGAATTCCTGTGTTCTTACTGTGAACATCTTCATCTCTACATTCATGACACTTGGTGTGACTTTAATTTTGTTAAGGGCCCGCGAATAGGATCTCGTCACAGGTCGGTTAACGGGAAAAACTTCTTGATTTCCCTTTTCTCGAGGAACCTATCTTTAGAGCCTTAACCAACTCTCCTCTGCTCTTTCTTGACTGAAAATATTGATGATTTTATTGAATATCATCTGCTCCTTTAAATAGGAATTACAAGAAGGTAAGAGTCCTTCTTTAGGAAAACTACCTAACAAACATTTATCTTTAAATAGGAAATAATAATGCTACTGCCTAATTAATAGAAAAATATTTAAAATGGAAATCTTAAAATTTATCTAAGAGATACAATAGGAATACTGAATTTAACGCCCATTACTGCTGCTGTTTCCGGCTGTACTTCTTTCCAATAAAAGCATCCACAACAAATTTCTACCAGATCATTTTACTAAAGGAAAAAAAAAATCATTTCTGCTCTGTATAAACACTCCTCAGTTGGGAAAGAGTACAAATACAAATATGTACAGTACAAATAGATACAAAATACAAGATTTTGCATTCTACATATTTGTATTTGTACTCCTTCCAAACTGAGCCTTGACACATGATAGAAGATATCTGTGCAAATACTATGATCATTCTGAACAAAAGACAGTTCTATTAACAACTCGAAGTTGTAACTTTTGGTTTCTGTCACGTCATGTTCCACTAGTGAGTTGATATCAAGGTTTATGGATGTTATGGATTTGTAGAATTTTAGGCTGTAGCCCAAGGAGAAAATTACTGCCCGCTGTATATAGAAAGCTAGGTTGGATGAAAAAATGGTTTAGTGCTAGGGGAATAGTGAATACAGAGGAGTGAGGATAGTTGTGAACTTAAGCGGTTGACGAAAAAACTTTGCTACTTGAATGAAGACACAGACATCATTAGGAACACCCCACTGCCGAACTGGACACATAACAAGCTCTGTATTAAGGTTTGATTTTCTTTTTTTTTGTTAAGCCTGATTATGCGTTTGTCAGTGGAATGCTCCCAAAACGTTTATATCGAATGCAGAAAAAAGGTCCTTGAGATTCATCCTACAGTTTCCCTTCTTTGGCGGTCAGATTTGTTCCTCAGTGCGCCTCAAACCAACCTCACAGTGCATCGCAGCTGTGCATTAAAAACATTCCGGTACTTAATGTTGTCATTCATGGGAAGATGTTCTTAATGCATGGCTGCGATGCGCTGTGAGGTCTGTGAGGAGCAAATCCGAATTCTTCTTTGGCAAATTAAGCATTAAATTTCCTTTTAAATACTTCCTTTACAGTATCTTTTCATTTTTATGTTACCTCTCTTTGCCTCATTATCTCCAACTCCAAGACTCCACCAACTAGACTATCTGGTATCTCATTGTCCAAATCATAATCTAACCATGGTTTCTGACTTTTCTGTAGCCTGAGCCAGAGTTTCGGCCTCCCATGTCCGAAGTTGTTCAAGCACTGGTCCGTTTGATGCAAAGAGCAAGCGTAGTCAAGAGACGATTAAGTGATGATTCGGGTTTCATCCATAAGATGCCAGACTATGAGGCTGTCGAGATGTCATTTTAATTTTTAAGTATCTCAGCAACCATTCCACGTGGGTAGCATGTGGCATTTGCAATTTTGTATACAAACATTCAAAAGTTCAGTGCAAATGAAGAAGAAACAACAAATGGTCGAAGACAGAGATGGGGTGATCGTGATCTCAGTGAGATGGATGAGCAGACAGCGATGAACAAATGTTCCAATATGCAAACCAAAAGATGTATATTTTAATAACAAAAGCCTCGGTTGTATCTAAATTTTATTGGAGCCTTCGGATGTACACTCTGGTCTCTGCATACTTTCGAGTAAAATAACATCGTTGACTAAAGCATGATTTTCAGAATATACAAAGTCAAAGATTCCTTTGGTCGGCAACTTGGTTATGATGGTGTCTGGTAGCATTTTAGTTCCCAGGCCCGACTCAGATCCCGCCCCTGCCCGTCAGACACGCTAACCTAATCCTACATGAAACTGAAAATAAGAAATACATAATAAAAACTACTTGATCACCAGATGCAATATATTATGGTCTAGGACTCTAGGTCTATACAACATATATCGGTCTGTATCGATTGATACATATCACTGATATGTCCCTACAGGGATTATATCGGGTCAGTTACTGGTTCAAAGGGTAGTCAGGTCTTAAACCGATTTTTCTAAATCGATTTCAAAAAAAATAAGTAAATCATAAAAAAAGCACTGACACAGGCCGATACGCCCTATCGGCATATCGGCTCGTCGTGCCATGTTTTGTGGATAAGATGCTAATCTTACTCGTGCCTCTACCCTCCATACCATTGATCAGCCTACATTAACTTAACCTTTGTTGAATTTACCTGGATACCTACATTTCTTCTGATACGGGTGTTTTTTGTAACTTGCCAACATGAAGCTCATAAGCTTAATTTATGTAATATATTTATTTTTTATATGTATAATAAGAAAATAATTTTTTACATGAAGTGTCAAGCTTGATTCAAGCTCAATTCCATTCAAGGCTTATGCTTTTTTGTCAAACTGAGCTTGAATAATCTAATATTCAGCTCAGCTTGACTGGTAACTATTCCTCCTAATACAGCCACCATGTCGTGTTTGGAACTTTGGATATGTGCCCATTTTACATAGCTAGACAAAGAATCCATGTGTCCTAAAAAAAAGAGATACAATGTATACTTTGTCTTTTCTCCTTGACAAACTCAATCTGACTTCATTAGAATTTTGTGAACCCATTCATTAGATGTTGGTTAGACATTATTTTTCACTAGACTTGCTCATGGGTCAGGTAGCTGATAGACTGGTGGACTGGCCCTAGGCTCAAGTTCGGGCCCTAAACGTTAGGTTCGATTATTTTTTGGACTAGGCTTGGGCTTTTTTCAAATAAGCCTGGCCTGAGACCAACCTGATAATATTATATATAATAAAAAATATAATATATTATTAATAATATATAATTAATATATTATAATCAAGGTTCAAAATTTCATTATGTATCGGCCCGTATAGGCCGATACATATCGTATCTTTGAGGTTCAGGCACAGGGAACGGTACCAAATCTTTAGTACCGTTCCTTTTCGTCGTTCCGGAAATGTATCGTGTCCTTATCGATAACGTTTTGGTGAGTATCGGCCTATTTCGGTGAGTATCAGTCTATTTCCAAGATCCAACAAGTTTTTCAAAATTGTTAAAAAATGAGTGAAAATATGTATGTTTTTTCAATTTTTTTACAATCTCGGCCAATGTTTTTGTGTTTTTTTAGTTTGGATTCTTAGAAACATCTTTGTGTATGTTGATATGTTATTCTTGTGCAAAAAATCCCATTTATTTTGCTCCTATATGTAGATATTTGTGAATATTTGAAAATTTTCTAGAATATTAAAAATCTGAAAGAAATGAAAATTTTAGGTTTTTTTTTTTTGTGATCTACCGCTAAATATTGATTATGTTGTAGATCTATGGATGATCTATCATGTCCATAGATCAATTTAAATTTCTTCTAAATAATTGATTTTTTTTATTTTTTTAAATTTTAGAATAATATAAAATATATAAATAATTTATTCAGTTTTTTTGTGATCTAACTCTATAGGTTGAGTATGTTGTAGAGCTAAGAATGGCATCAATATATTGAAATATCATATGAAAATTTTAATTTGTTTTTAGATTATAAATATTTATTTATTTCTCTAATTTTTTGCTATGATAAAATTCTAATAATAAATATTTACAATAAATATATGGATGATCTATTATGTTCATAAACTCATTCAATTTTTCTGTTACATATTTATTTTTTAAATTTTAGTTTAATTTTTAGAATAAAAAATGCAAAATAATTATTTTAATAAAAATAAATAATTATTTAGTTTTTAGAATGAAATATACAAAATAAGTATTTCATCTATTATGCCCATAAATTCATTCAAATTTTCTGTTACATATATACTTTTTTTAATTTTAATTTTATTTTTAGAATAAAACATGAAAAATATTTATTTGAATAAAAATAAATAATTATTTAGTTTTTAGAATAAAACATGCAAAATAATTATTAGTTTTACAATAAAAATAATAGATGTCCATGAAGCCATCAAAAAAAATATTTGTTTAACTTTTAGAATAAAACATGCAAAATAATTATTTGAGTAAAAATAAATAATTATTTAAAAAATACGAAAAAATGTTTGATTCAGTAATTACAAATTTTACATAATTATTTGATTCAATGATTGTTAATTGCTTAAATGGATTAGATAACACTTGGAAAATGTTTAAAACAATTAAAAATATTTTTTAGTAATATTTAAAAATAGTTAAAAAATACAAAATAAAAGACATTGATATATTTCACATGATAATCTATAATTTGAATGTGATTATAATTGTGGCCTCGAAAATATGAAAACAGTTATTATTTGTCTAATTGGATATTTGTACTAGATAATAATGGAAAAATATTTAAAAAAATAAAAATTTTCATAATAACAATTGAAAATTAATTTACTAACACATTAACACTTAAAATTGGATAATTTATATAATAATTGAACTTTTATGTGATTCATGACTTCATGTAAAGTTTTAACTTTTAAACATYATAATGGGATTCAAATGTTGAATTTGTAAATTATAATAGATTTAAAATTTGAAGTTGGAACTCGGAAGATTGGAACTGAATTAAGTATTTTATTAAATAATATGTTTTTGTTCCCGTTTGTTGATTATAATATGTTTTTTTTATAAAAACCCATTAAAACACATGATTTTTATGTATAAATAGTTCATTTAAGTCTTATATTTAGTGATATTGATGTTTATTTATGATTTATTAGAGTATTTATAGCATTTCCATGTGTTCTCATGCGTATCTTAATTTTTCGTCCGTATCCATGCGTATCCAAAACGTATCCCGATATGCCTTTTAAATTTTCCCTTCCGATACGCATAGCGTTTCTGATACTTTGAACATTGATTATAATATATCTGTCCAGATTGGCTTCAGGCTTTATATAAGGACTGCGCTTGAGCTCAAGATCTAGGCCTGATGGTGGGGCCAGACTTAGGCTCGGGCCTGATTATTTTTTGTTAATAAAGAGTCAAAGCCTGGCCCTAACCCAGCTCAACCTGTGAACATGTCTATCTTTCACTACTACGAGTAGTGGAGTTTGTGGGTTATTTGAATTTTTAAAAATAGAAAATTACTTATATGGCTATTTAAGTAAACCCACAACCAAGTCAGTTAAGAAGCTGAATGTAACATGGGCATCTTCTTTAACTCAAGCTCATGCATAGCACGGGTCACTTATAGTGTATCTAAAGTTGGTGTTTACACATAATTTGGTATCTACAAGCATCTGCTATTTAAACTTCCTCTAGCTCTGTATGATTAGGCCTGGTTTTCTAGATTAGCCTGACAATGCTGTTTGGATGTTCAGTGAACCCAACACGGGTAAAATCTCTTTAATTTCTGGGTGAAAACTCTTTCCGACATGGAACTCATGCACATTTCCTTGAAGGTCAATGCAACTCCATCCACGACGATTTTCAACTCCGATCTCCTTCATCTTCTTTCGGACTTCCATAACTTCATCCCATTTGTTACCCGCAGCTAACATTCCAGAAAATAGAATATAAGCACCCCCATGAGATGGATCCAACTCTAGAATCCGTTGTGTGGCCAATTTGCCAAGCTTGAGATTACCATGGACTTTACAGGCACTAAGCAGAGCACCCCAAATAACCACATCTGGCTTCACAGAGGAAGTCTTAATGAAACCATGGGCCTCGTCTAAAAATCCAAGTCCTCCCATCAGATGGACCATGCATGAAACGTGTTCAGCTCGAGGAGCAATACCATGGGCCGTGGTCATCAATCTGAACCACTTCTGTCCTTCTTCCAACCACCCAGCATGAGCACATGCAGACAAAATTGCGACAAAAGTTGTGCTATCTGGTGCCAACCCACCTTTCGCCATATTGCAGAAGATCTTAAGGCACTCTGAAGCTTTCCCGTGAATTGCTAGTCCTAACATCGTAACATTGTAACAGACTAGGTTTTTCTTTGAGATTTCATTGAACACTTGTTGCGCAGTGTCCAAACACCCACACTTCACGTACATATCAACAAGTGAAGTGCTGAGGACAACATCAGATTTGATCTTTTCTTTGTCCAAGCTCGAGTGAATCTGTCGCCCTAAATCCAGAGAACCCATATGGGCACAGGCAGTAACAGCACCTGTAATTGCAGTGTCATTCGCGATGATCCCTTTAGCCTTCATCTCGCTGAATAGCAGCAGCGCTTCCTTGAAAGCACCATTCTGCACGTACCCATTAAGCAATGCACTCCAAGAGATCTCATTCTTCACTGGAATCTGGTCGAAGAGTTTCCTGGCTTCGTCTGCGTTGCCGGCCCTCCCATACGCAGAGACCATGGAATTCCAAGATACCACATCCTTGTCTACCATTTCGTCGAAATGTTTACGGGCATCAATAATGCTCCCGCACTTCGAGTACATATCAATCAAAGCATTGCTCATGTAAGAGTTGAACCCAACCTTACATTCTCGAACCAAAGATTCTAATCTCCTAGACAGATGTAAATCTCTCAATTGAGCACATGCGGTGAATACTGCAACAACAACGACTTCGTCAAACATTACTTGCTCCTCTCTCATGAGAAAGAAAAGCTCCACAGCCTCTTTAGCACGACCACTCCGAACATAACCATTGAGCACCACCGTCCACGAGATCAAATCTCTCTCGGGTAGTTCATCAAATACCTTTCTTGCATAATCAACAGGCCCGCAGCCAGAGTAGCCAAGAATCAATGAATTCAACACAAAAACATCAGAACAAAACCCGAGAATGAGAACCTGACAATGAAGACCCAATAAAACCTCTAAGGTACCCAGATCAGCAGCCGCCTTGGAAACAAAAGAGAAAGTAATCCAATTGGGTTTAGCCCCCTTCAGCAGCATCTCTTTGTATAAAGCAATTGAAAGTTCAAAATCTCTTGTTTTGGAATAAACTCTGATCATAGTATTCCATGTGAACGTATTGGGTTTCTGAATTTGATCGAACAAAAGACGGGTGTAATGGGAATTAGGTGAATCCAGATGGCTAATGGTTTCAAGGATCTTGGTTAAATATAGGTTATCCAGAGAGAGTCCAGATCTGAAAATTTGAGCGTGAATTTGTTTTAATGCGCCACGGTGGTGCAAGCTTCGAGAAGAGAAGAAAGACATGGGTGTTTGAGTATTAGCTTGCTGGCTATGGATTTACTCATTAGTCAACACAAAAAATGCAGTTTAGCGCCGAAACGAGGTTATATAAATAATGAATTTGCACCTGGATTAGTAAATGGGCTAAATTTTTAAAAAACTATTTTATCCTTTATTCTTCTTCAAAATTTCAAAATAAAACCTTTGTTGTCTAAGTCTAAGAATCAGCGTCTTTTGCTTTTTTCCGTTGGATATTCTGCTGGTCACGAGATGCTACAAGACTACGGTTCACTGTCCTATTCCGCCACTGCCGCTGCAACTCAAACCAGTGGTGGTAGCAGTCCCTACCTTCTCCTTCGGTCTCCTTTTATCATTTTCTCCTGCCTCTCCTTCATCCCGCTTCTCTCTCTTTCCTCTTCCCTCCTCTCCCTCTTTCTCTTTCTTCTTCCTCTCCTTCTTGTTGGTGACAGTTCAACTTATCCTCTACCTTTGTTTCCCGGTTACAGAAGAGAACCAGTCCAGCTAGGGGAGAGAGTAAGCAAAGAGAGTGATAGAGAGGGAATAAGAGGGAAGAGAATGAGGAAGAGGGGAGAGAGCGATGGTTCACCAATACCGAAAGTCGCAGTGGCTGCGGTGGAGCTTCAGAACGAGTGAGCAGAACAGAGTAGTTTCAGGACGCGATCATGGTCGCCGGCGTTGATTTTTACAGATGGGTCAGGTTTTATACAAATATTGGCTGCCGGCGTTGATTTTTTACAGATGGAAAACAGTGAGCAGAACGAGTGACCAGAAAGATTGCAGATAGGTCAGGTTTTATACAAATATTGGCTGCCGACGTTGATTTTTACAGAAATCATGGTCTCCGGCGTAGTTCCAGGAACCGATCATTGTTTTCCAACGGGAAAATCCCAGAAAAAGGTACCCTGTTTTGCTACTATGGTCGTTGCATCAACGGCAACTATAGCGAAAACGGGTTAAGAAGACAATGAATCCGGGTCGGATTCTAGAAATTTTGTACAGGAAGATGCTTACATACACACATAGCTCACTTTCAGACTTATTTTTGACATCTAGGTGTTTGTGTGTGTGACTGTGTGGAGTTGTCATCTATTACCAGGAAACGCAGCCTTGATTTTCAACCTCCTTAATGAGGTTCTAATATTGATTACCAAAAAAAAGCTGGAGCTTTAATATGAAAAACCAACGATGACGAGGGCTGCATTTCGGTGAGAGACCACATCTTCGGTGGGTTTTTCAGTATCCGAGCTAAAGTTGCAATGGCGAAAGGGGCCGATGGTGGATGGGGTTCCCGCCGCTGGTTATAAGGGGACGAGAAAGGGGTAATATTGGATTTTAAAAAAATTTAAACGTGGTATCATGATAGAATTAATCAATTGTCAGTCAGAGGTGACATTAATCAATTTTAAAACAATGTGGATACATTTAGTCAATCAATTAAACAATAAGAATAGTACAAAAAATTTATCCATTAATTATTTATTAACCCAGGGACGGGAAGATGCAAACCAAGCCCATCTTCGAACCGATCAAATAATACCAGAAGTACTTGATACCCATTACTCTAAAGTAACAAACAAAGAAAAATAGAAAAGTCAAATGCTGTATAGAATGTTTTACTTATTTGGTGATTTTGATAGTTGCCGTCGGAATTGCTTGACAAGTATTAATTCTTTATTTTATATAATGTGTTTTATATTTTTAAATAATGTTTTTATTATTTTTGTCTTTCAATATGAATTAGCAAAATATGTAATTTTCATTTAGAAGGATAGTGATGGAGGGTGATTTGGCCCGACCTCGTAGCTCATGTATACGAGGGCGTGACCTTGCTCAAACAATGACTCAGTATGACAGTACAATGAATGTGAGCACAACTCAGTGGGGAAGTCCCACTGAGTTCAACACGGCAATTCGGCAGGTAAACTACTTGCCAAAAGCCGCTTCGCCCGCACCTCCCCCCTGGGAGTTCTTCCTCTTTCCTCTTATTTCAAGTACATCTCAAGAGTCACGCGAGCGCCCGCTAGGAGTGACCAGATTATGCTACATCATTTGGCGCCATCTATGGGAAACGCTTCAAAAAGCCTTTCCCTCTAAACTCTTTCAGTTCTTTCTTCTTCCTTGAAACAATCCAACGCTCATGGCGTCCTCTAGCAACGTCGGACGAAGCACGGAAATGGATAACTCTAGGGAACAACCCCAGCTTCCCACTGTCTCTATCAGACAGTTCACCATCCCCGTCTCAGCGGATGGAATCCCCAGCTTGAACGTGCCTCTCACAATGGTACCTGTCATCGCCCCACTCCCTGCTACAGTCGGAACGACGTTCACCAAACCTTCAGTCGTGCCCCCAACGGCCAGTCCGAACCAGCTGGAGGACCTGATGCAGTGCATGAGGGCCATGCAGGCTCAAATGCAACAGTTCCAACAACTTCAACTCTATCAACAGCACGTACTGCACCAGGTCTCCCAGTATCAGTATCAGCAACAATTCCCCCAGTTGCCCCAACCTCAGCTTTAGCAGCCTCAGCTCCCGCCTCAGYGCCCAGCCTCGCAGCAAGCCAAATCTCGTCGCCAGAGCGAGCACTCCGGCCGAGGAGAGGCCCCCCAAAATTTCCCAAAAAACCAGGCCTCCCTCCACTGCAGACGGGAGAGACCGGCTACCCCGATCTTGCCGTGGGCGAACAGGTCGGGAGGGCCCCGGCTCGGTAGGTCTACGTCACCTCGACAGTCAAAGTTTGGAACCCCGATCCTCGAAAACCGGTTCGAGATCCTGGCAACAGACTTCAAGCAAGACCCCTCTATCCACAGCCATCACCAGCAGACCGGGCTACTCCCTGCGTAAACCATTCCCCGAACAACACAGAGGTGAGCAGCACGAACGTCGAGCCCATCAAGAAGCAGAGGCGCCGCCGCCGAGCTCGCCGATCTGTTACCTGCAATTTGCCCGAGCTCATGGGCAAAGAAGAGGTAAGCTCGACCGAAGCCAAAGCTCCCCTCCTCTCGGTTCCGTCCCCCCTGTCTTCCGAACTCCTGGTAGTCCCGATGCCCAAGGATTTCAAGCTCCCCCCTCTGGACAAGTATGACGGGTCGTTCGACTCGAATCATCATGTAGATGCCTTTCAGTCACAGATGCACCAGGCGCGAGACAGTGAGTCGTGCATGTGCGTGGCCTTCTCCACTACTTTCAAGGGAGCAGCCAGCACGTGGTACCAAAACTTGGCACCCGGGTCGATAAGAAGTTGGGCGCAGTTCGCACAAGCCTTCACGTCCCACTTTGTCACCAGCAAACGGTGCCCGCGAACTGAAGAAAGCATCTTCAACATAGCAAAAAGAGAGGGAGAGTCCATCCGGAGCTATATCAAGCGGTTCAACGATGCTTGTATGCAGATACCGCGCTTGGACCCTGCCATACGCCTTGTAGCAGCCAAGAAGGGCGTGACGCACAAAGAGTTCAAGTGGCACATGGTTGTCAACCAACCCGCGACCATAACCAAGTTTCTAAAGCTCGCGGATAAGTTCATAGCCACCGAAGAGGAGATCAACCAGAAGGGCAAGGGCGCACCCGAAAAAAAGAAAGAGAGAAGGAGAGCCTTCCAGTCAAGGGGACACCTGAAGAAAAAAGGAAACAGTTCGGGGGGCAAAGCTAGGTCAATTGTTCCGAGCTCCTGTACCAGACCGAGCTGATTACACCCCACTGAACGCGAAGCGGGCCGAAATCCTGATGGCGATCAAGGATGCCCCGTACGTGAAGTGGCCACCCCGTCTGAGGGGGAATCCCAATGAAAGAAATAAGAGTCTGTATTGCAGCTTTCACAAAGACCACGGTCACAGTACCGAGAGTTGTAAAAACCTTCGCGATGAGATAGAGGAGCTCATCCGTCGCAGATATTTGAGAAACTTTGTACAAAATAATAATAATAACAATAGTAATAGAACAGGTCGGCAAGGGGAGCATGGTAAAGATGCTCCCGAGTCCAGCAGTAGGTTGGCCGAACAACCGCAGAGGCAGCCTCCAGAGGAGAGGCCAGTTCGGGGGACCATCCACATGATAGTGGGAGGTTCGATCGTTGCGGGTTGCACTTCGGCAGCAGCTCGGACGTCAGTTTGTGAGGCCACCCGGGAAGAGTAGAACCCCCCAAAGCGGCCGAAGACGGGAGACCCAATTTTCTTCACAGAAGACGATGCACGAGGGGTCCACTACCCCCATGATGATGCACTCATAATAAAGCTAAGAATCAACGACTTCGAGGTCAGGCGCGTACTCGTGGACTCAAGCAGCTCAGCCGACATCCTTTTCAAAGCTGCGTTCGACCAGCTTCAATTGCAGAGAAGCGACCTGAGGCCTACAGACACCCCTTTAGTGGGCTTCAGCGGAGAGGAAGTCCACCCCCTTGAAAAAGTAACACTACCTGTAGAGATCGACACATGGCCTTGTGTGGTCAGATTCGAACACAACTTCCTGGTGGTAGCGACCCCCTCCCCCTACAATGCCATAGTAGGTCGACCGATCATCCATATCCTACGGGCAGTGGTCTCCACTTACCACTTCGCTATGAAGTTCCCAACAGACTTTGGTGTGGGAGTAGCGCGGGGCGACCAACTCGAGTCCTGCAAGTGCTACGTTGCCGCCCTGAAGAGGAAAACCAAGGTGGCCGATGACCTCGAACTGGAACGACCCACAGAGCAAGGCGAAGAGCGAGCCACGCCCACAGAAGAAACAGTCGTGGTCCCGACCTCAACAGCAGACCCAGCTCGGACGCTTCAGATCGGCGCTTCCGTCCAGGAGCCCCTACGAT